TCTCCTCCTCTTTGCCTGCTGCCATAGCAAGCCGTGTGCTATGGGGGCACACATATGGGCAGGCTGCTGAGCTGGGCTGTGTGCATTCATAGACGCACACAGCACATCTCAGACACTCCCCTGCTCCGTCCTCATTAGATTTGACTGACAGCAGCAGCGGCCTAAAACTCCCGCAGGTCTCAGTGTGTCCTGTGAGAGCAGAGAGAGGCCAACAATGCAGCAGACAGGCAGAGCACTGGATCGAGAGAGGATTTAGGAGGTAGGTGTTGGGGGCAAGCAAGTGGAAGGTTTCTTACAAAAATGCCCTTGTTAAGTCTAGAGGTACAGAAATAAGCAGCTGTAACGGCTCATTCCCACAATCAGAAAAGGGCAGATGGAAACAGTCAGGCAGTTGGTCTGATCATTATTATTATTATTATTATACAGGATTTATATAGTGCCAACGGTTTGCTCAGCGCTTTACATTATAGTGGGAGACAGTACAGTAACAATAGAAGAGGGATTTGAGGGCCCTGCTCCTTGGAGCTTACAATCTAGGAGGGAGGGGTGAATGGTACAATAGGTAATTACTGTGGGGGATGGAGTGGTTGGAAGAATAGAGGATTCCAGTATTAGCAAAGGGCGGGATAGGCTTCCCTGAAGAGATAGGTTTTCAGAGATCGCCTAAAAGTAAGTAGAGTAGGCGATAGTCTGATAGATTGGGGTAGAGAGTTCCAGAGGATGGGTGACGCCCTGTAAAAGTCTTGGAGACGAGCATGGGAGGAGGAGACGAGGGAGCTAGAGAGTAAGACGTCTTGCGAGGAGCGGAGTGTACGGTTTGGGTGATATTTAGAGATAAGATCGGTTATGTAAGTTGGGGCAGTGTTGTGGATGGCTTTATATGTCAATGTTAGAGTTTTGAATTTTATACGTTGGGCACCAGGGAGCCAGTGGAGGGATTGGCAGAGAGAGGTGGCAGATACAGAACAGTTAGTAAGGTGGATGAGTCTGGCAGCACTGACTCTTGTTGTTCATGGATTCTTCCTGCCATTCAGTAACTGCCTGTCCATATGGGAGGTACGGGCAGACAGCTGAACCAACAGTCTGCAGGTGACTGGCATTGCACCCACCCTCTGCTGACCGTGGGTGTAAAGCCTTACAGTCTGCAGTGTAAAAATGTTTTCTTTAAATTACATTTTTTTTTTTTTTTATTTGCAAAAGGTGAACTTATCCTTGAGTCTGGTGTCATAATCACTGCCCCAGGTTTCCTGTTTCAGGGTGGCTTCTCTCTCTTGCAGCATCCTATGGAACCCCCCTTGCATACAGGGACTAGCGTTGTCTCAACCAACACCATGTGCACTAATAGAAACACCCAGTCCCATAGCCTGGGATGGCAAGGCACGTCCCTACTCCTCCCTTCTCCAAGCTAACATACTGGCTGGAGACTGTACTGTCTTCCTGTGAAGACCAGAAGTTCACGGAGGTGGTAAAGAGAGCAGCAACCAGTAGTATTAAGGCCTGGTTCACATACAGTCAGGTCCATAAATATTGGGACATCGACACAATTCTAACATTTTTGGTTCTATACACCACCACAATGGATTTGAAATGAAACGAACAAGATGTGCTTTAACTGCAGACTGTCAGCTTTAATTTGAGGGTATTTACATCCAAATCAGGTGAACGGTGTAGGAATTACAACAGTTTGCATATGTGCCTCCCACTTGTTAAGGGACCAAAAGTAATGGGACAATTGGCTTCTCAGCTGTTCCATGGCCAGGTGTGTGTTATTCCCTCATTATCCCAATTACAATGAGCAGATAAAAGGTCCAGAGTTCATTTCAAGTGTGCTATTTGCATTTGGAATCTGTTGCTGTCAACTCTCAAGATGAGATCCAAAGAGCTGTCACTATCAGTGAAGCAAGCCATCATTAGGCTGAAAAAACAAAACAAACCCATCAGAGAGATAGCAAAAACATTAGACGTGGCCAAAACAACTGGTTGGAACATTCTTAAAAAGAAGAAACGCACCGGTGAGCTCAGCAACACCAAAAGACCTGGAAGACCACGGAAAACAACTGTGATGGATGACCGAAGAATTCTTTCCCTGGTGAAGAAAACACCCTTCACAACAGTTGGCCAGATCAAGAACACTCTCCAGGAGGTAGGTGTATGTGTGTCAAAGTCAACAATCCAGAGAAGACTTCACCAGAGTGAATACAGAGGGTTCACCACAAGATGGAAACCATTGGTGAGCCTCAAAAACAGGAAGGCCAGATTAGAGTTTGCCAAACGACATCTAAAAAAGCCTTCACAGTTCTGGAACAACATCCTATGGACAGATGAGACCAAGATCAACTTGTACCAGAGTGATGGGAAGAGAAGAGTATGGAGAAGGAAAGGAACTGCTCATGATCCTAAGCATACCACCTCATCAGTGAAGCATGGTGGTGGTAGTGTCATGGCGTGGGCATGTATGGCTGCCAATGGAACTGGTTCTCTTGTATTTATTGATGATGTGACTGCTGACAAAAGCAGCCGGATGAATTCTGAAGTGTTTCGGGCAATATTATCTGCTCATATTCAGCCAAATGCTTCAGAACTCATTGGACGCCGCTTCACAGTGCAGATGGACAATGACCCAAAGCATACTGCAAAAGCAACCAAAGAGTTTAAGAGAAAGAAGTGGAATGTTATGCAATGGCCAAGTCAATCACCTGACCTGAATCCAATTGAGCATGCATTTCACTTGCTGAAGACAAAACTGAAGGGAAAATTCCCCAAGAACAAGCAGGAACTGAAGACAGTTGCAGTAGAGGCCTGGCAGAGCATCACCAGGGATGAAACCCAGCGTCTGGTGATGTCTATGCGTTCCAGACTTCAGGCTGTAATTGACTGCAAAGGATTTGCAACCAAGTATTAAAAAGTGAAAGTTTGATTTATGATTATTATGCTGTCCCATTACTTTTGGTCCCTTAACAAGTGGGAGGCACATATGCAAACTGTTGTAATTCCTACACCGTTCACCTGATTTGGATGTAAATACTCTCAAATTAAAGCTGACAGTCTGCAGTTAAAGCACATCTTGTTTGTTTCATTTCAAATCCATTGTGGTGGTGTATAGAGCCAAAAATGTTAGAATTGTGTCGATGTCCCAATATTTATGGACCTGACTGTATATGCATATAGATGCAATTTGAACTGCACCAGAGTCGCATGACATGTGAACCTGCAGCCTTTTCTATGGAGCTGGTTCACATTTGTGCAGGATGGCCACAGCGTGATTTTCAAAAGGGTCCAGTATGATTTTCAGCCTGGCTCAGGTGCAATTTCCAGTGTCATACACTTTAAGAATTTGCACATTAATCGCACCTGAACTGCTGGAGTTGCAGCAGATGGGGCTGAAATCGCTGTCAAAACCAGCCCGCACGTATGTGAACCCAGACTTAAAGTTTTAAACAGCAACAAATATTTTACTGGGAAACGTTTATTTTTATTGCACTCAATGCGTTAACCTGAAAAACAGTTTAATGTGATTTTAAAGGCTTAAATTATTATTTTTTTCTTATAACAAACATACTTACCTGCTCCCTGCAGTGGTTTTGCACACAGCAGTCCAGATCCTCCTCTGCTTGGGTCCCCCACTGGTGCTCCAGGCTCCTCCCTCCTGTCAGGTGTCCCCACAACAAGTAGCTTGCTATGGGGCACCCGCTGCTCCTTGTGTTCATTCACACATGGAGTCAATGGCTTGGCTGACCCCCCTCTCTTCTCATTTGCTCACTGGCTCCCACTGCTGTCTCAGCCAATGAGGAGAGGGAGTCCTGGGATTACCAAGACTCCAGTGCACATCGCTGGATCGAGAGGGGGCTTCGGTGAGTATTAGGGTGGCTGCTGCACACAGGTGGTTTTTTTAGCTTCATGCACAGAATGCATGAAGATAAAAAGCCTTTAGAACCATTTTAACTGCTTGCAACCGCGCAACTGTCAAAGTAGCGCAACACCATATACCAAGAAAATGGCCTGGTCATGAAGGGTGGTGAATCTTCTGGAGGGCAAGTGGTTAATACTACTTTAAAATGGTTGTACACCATTGATACACAGAGATTAAACAAATTCTACATAAGTTGTATCTGTTTATCTATAGCCCTCTATTCTCTACATCAGTTCAAAGTCCAGAATGTATACAGCTTGTCTGAGCTGTCAGGAAAAAAAAAAAAGGGACAGAAAGCTGAAATGACACTCTGTGAGACATCTGAGAGCTGATTGGAGGGAAGGGACACACACCCCCTTCATGCAACACACAGGAACAGAGCTGAAGCTGTCAATCAGGCTGTGTGCTGGAGATCCCTCCCCTGTCACCATTTTTCTCTTGGTGTCAGGAAAACTTGTCAGAAGTGATTCATGCCGACAGCAGAGGAACGAGGCAGGAGATGCACATGACACTTAGTGCTCTGGACTGAGACAAGTACACACTTTGTTCATATTTCATGTCAGAGGTTTATAACCACTTTAAACATTTGATGGAATGGGGTGTCTTTGTCTATGCTCCCACAGAACAAGCAGATCCTTCCTTTTCATAGAAGTATGAAGGCAGGAATCTGATTGGCTACAATAGGACAACACAGACAGACTCATGCACTGATCAATGAAGCCCCTGGCCTGACAGGCCTCCCCTACACTCCATTCTGAGCAGTGACAACTTGCCATCGTGGCCCATGTCACCTGTAGAGTAGATGGATGGAGGTGCACCTACAGCTACCTGTCTCCTCCAGCCCCATACATCAGGATCCATCCCATGACACACAATACAGGTCACAGCACTGCCAGCTGCAGCCTCTAGTATACGAAGCCATACCCCATGTCCTGTCCATACTAGCACCATGACATCACATGCAAATGACCAGTCGGGTCACCAGTTGCCGCCATATGTTCCTGCCATCCCTCCCAAGTCTTGGAATGAACACTTCCACCCTCCATACACGGATAACGAGCTGTGTGTCGCCTTGTCACGACTCACTCACCGTCCCTCCATCTTTAATGATGATTTTCTTAGCCAGAAGAATGCTGCGATTTAACCTCTTCTTCTTTTTCTTTTCCCCGTCATGGTGAGCTCAGGCCCGTCATCCCGACACCGGGAAAGGCTCCGCAGGTAGGCCCTCACAGCTCACCGGGCCACACTACCATGGAAACGGCGGCCCCCTCCACTTCATCCCCCCCTTCACCCGCTTCCGGCCTCCAGCGCTTCCTCCACCCATTGCTTGCTGTGGGACCAATGAGGAGTCAGCGTTTCCTTCCTGGAGCCTGTCATTGGCAGGCTTTGATGTCATTTAGCTCTAGCGCGGACGCTGATTGGCAAGGGCATGTGACGCGACGACGAAGAGGGACTAGAAAGCGGCTCCATATTGAGTGTGGCACAAGTATGAGCTGTCATTGCAGGCGGTGGAATCCATATGTTTATGGCTTTTACTGCTGCTAGCAGCTGTGTGCCTTCACTCCATATGTGTCCATGTTTCTAGCAGTTATATAAACACGTAGAGGCACGGAGGTGGTTATAGCTCTGGCCAGGGACAGTACAATCTGCTTGTTATCACCATTAGAGGCAATGACAGCCCTGCTTTGGGAGTTGCACTCATACTTGCACAGTTCATTTTGATGTCAAATTAATTTTAGTTATAGTGTTTTAACTAAAATGCCATTTTATTTGTATTTTAGCCATCTGAATGGTTTTAGTTGAATAAAATCGGCAGTGTATTTTATTCGACTAAAATCTAATGGATTTAGTTAAATTGTAATTTATTATTTATTACAGTTACTTATATAGTGCTGTCATGTATTATTTAAGCATTTCTCTAGAATTTCCAAACTCATTATATACTACCAGAGTAAAAAAAAATGTATTTTTTTTTATGGTATTAAAGTAGTAGATTGTAAACTCCAAGGAGCAGGGCCCTGTAATCCCTCTTGTATTCAACTGTATTGTTACTGTATTGTCTCCCGTTATATTGTAAAGCGCTGAGCAAACCGTTGGCGCTATTTAAATCCTGTATAATAATAGTAAACTCTTTGTGTATACTTTTACCTACAAGCAAGGTAATAATAAAGCTTAGCTCTAGTTAAAAAATGAATACAGTATAATGCCAGAAGTATTGTAACGCCTGCCTTTACACGCACATGAACTATAACTGCATCCCAGTCTTAGTCCGTAGGGTTCAATATTGAGTTGGCCCATCCTTTGCAGCTATAACAGCTTCACTCTTCTGGGAAGGCTGTCCACAAGGATTAGGAGTGTGTCTATGGGAATATTTGACTATTCTTCCAGAAGCACATTTGTGAGGTCAGGCAGTAATGTCGGACCAGAAGACCTGGCTTGGAGTCTCCGTTTTAATTCATCCCAAAGGGTTGAAGTGCAGGCCAGTCAAGTTCCTCCACCCCAAACTGGGTCATCCATGTCTTTATGGACCTTGCTTTGTGCACTGGTGCGCAGTAATGTTGGAACAGGAAGGGGCCATCCCCAAACTGTTCCCACAAAGTTGGGAGCATGAAATTGTCCAAAATGTCTTGGTATGCTGATGCCTTAAGAGTTCCCTTCAATGGAACTAAGAAGCCAAACCCAACACCTGAAAATCCCCCCCTCCACCAAACTTTACACTTGACACAATGCAGTCAGGCAAGTACCGCTCTCCTGGCAACCGCCAAACCCAGACGTGTCCATCAGATTGCCAGAGAAGCACGATTGGTCACTCCAGACAACACGTCTCCACTTCTCTACAGTCCTGTGGCGGCATGCTTTACACCGCTGCATTCGACTCTTTGCATTGCACATGGTGATGTAAGGCTTGGATGCAGCTGTTCGGCCATGGAAATCCATTCCATGAAGCTCTCTACGCACTGTTGTTGTGCTAATCTGAAGTGTGGAGGTCTTTAGCTACTGAATCTGCAGACAGTTGGCGACTACTGTGCGCTTCAGTATGCGCTGACCCCGCTCTGTCATTTTACGTGGCCTACAACTTCGTGGCTGAAGTTGCTCTTGTTCCAAGTTGCTTCCATTTTGTTATAATACCACTAACAGTTGACTGTGGAATATTTAGTAACAAGAAAATTTCACGGATGGACTTATTGCACAGGTGGCAACCTATCACAGTACCACGCTTGAATTCACTGAGCTCCTGAGAGCGACCCATTCTTTCACAAACGTTTGTAAAATCAGTCTGCATGCCTAGGTGCTTGATTTTATACACCTGTGGCCATGGAGGTGATTGGAACACCTGAATCCAATGATTTGGAGGGCTGGCCCAATACGTTTGGCAATATAGTGTATGTGAAAAAGCACCATAGGAAGCAATGTTAGTTCACATGTCATGTTCAAACCGCATCCAATCCACATACAGTCCATGGCCGAAATTGTTGGCACCCTTGATATTTTTCCTGAAAATCAAGTATTTCACACAAAAAAGGTATTGCATTAACACATGTTTTGCTATACACATGTTTATTCCCTTTGTATGTATTGGAACAAATATAAAACAGAGGCAGAAAAGCAAATATGACATAATGTCACACAAAACCCCAAAAAATGGGCTGGACAAAAGTATTGGCACCCTTAACTTAATATTTGGTTGCACACCCTTTGGAAAACATAACTGAAATCAGTCGCTTCCTATAACCATCAATAAGCTTCTGACACCTCTCACCCGGAATTTTGGACCACTCTTCCTTTGCAAACAGCTCCAGGTCTCTCTTATTGGAAGGACACCTTTTCCCAACAGCAATTTTAAGATCTCTCCACAGGTGTTCAATGGGATTTAGATCTGGGCTCATTGCTGGCCACTTCAGAACTCTCCAGCGCTTCTTTGCCATCCATTTCTGAGTGCTTTTTGACGTATGTTTGGGGTCATTGTCCTGCTGGAAGACCCAGGATCTTGGACGCAAACCCAGCTTTCTGACACTGGGCCCTACAGTGCGACCCAAAATCCTTTGGTAATCCTCAGATTTCATGATGCCTTGCACACAGTCAAGGCACCCAGTGCCAGAGGCAGCAAAACAACCCCAAAACATCATTGAACCTCCACCATATTTTACCGTAGGTACTGTGTTTTGTTCTTTGTAGGCCTCATTCCGTTTTCGGTAAACAGTAGAATGATGTGCTTTACCGAAAAGCTCTATCTTGGTCTCATCTGTCCACAAGACGTTTTCCCAGAAGGCTTTTGGCTTACTCAAGTACATTTTGGCAAACTGTAGTCTTGCTTTTTTATGTCTCTGTGTCAGCAGTGGGGTCCTCCTGGGTCTCCTGCCATAGCGTTTCATTTCATTTAAATGTCGACGGATAGTTCGCGCTGACACTGATGCTCCCTGAGCCTGCAGGACAGCTTGAATGTCTTTGGAACATGTTTGGGGCTGCTTATCCACCATCCGGACTATTCTGCGTTGCAATCTTTCATCAATTTTCCTCATCCGTCCACGACCAGGGAGATTAGCTACAGTGCCATGGGTTGCAAACTTCTTGATAATGTTGCGCACTGTGGACAAAGGCAAATCTAGTTCTCTGGAGATGGACTTGTAACCTTGAGATTGTTGATATTTTGCCACAATTTTGGTTCTCAGGTCCTCAGACAGTTCTCGTCTCCTCTTTCTGTTGTCCATGCTTAGTGTGGCACAGACAGACACACAATGCAAAGGTTAAGTGAACGTCTCTCCTTTTTATCTGCTTTCAGGTGTGATTTCTATATTGCCCACACCTGTTACTTGCCCCAGGTGAGTTTACAGGAGCATCACATGCTTGTAACATTCTTATTTATCCGCAGTTGTGAAAGGGTGCCTACTTTTGTCCAGCCCATTTTTGGAGGTTTGTGTGACATTATGTCGAATTTGCTTTCTTTCCTCCCCTTTTTTGTTTTGTCCCCTACACACAAAGGGAATAAACATGTGTATAGCAAAACATGTGTTAATGCAATACGTTTCGTGAGAAATACATGATTTCCTGGAGAAATATCAAGGGTGCCAACAATTTCGGCCATGACTGTATATGTAAACCAGCACTAAATTTGGTGGCTGATTGCTTCTGGCTGCCTCTAAAACAGAGGCAATGAATTAAAATTCATGGAGGCCCGATCAGTAAAGTTTTCTTCAAACAGAGGTCTGAAGCGCATTTTGTTTTCAGCCCTCTCCTACTGAATATCACAATTCTTATAATTCAGAATCCTCAGTCCCCCCTACATGTCACAGTCCCCCACTTCACATCAGTTTCACTTTCACAGTAGTGTTCTCAGGCCCCCTGTACATCACCCGCACCCACCCCTTTACAGTACGCCCCCATTATTTTCAGCAGTCCTCAACCCCTTTTCAAATCATCACCCCTGCCCTACACTACTGTCCTCTGCCCCTTCACATAACCCCCAGCAGAACATCTCCCTCCCAACAGCACTGCCCCACCTCCTCATATCAGAAATCCTCCCCCCCACACACAAAAGTAGTGTTCTCTACCCTTTGCACATCAACCCCCCTCCCACACACACAGCACTGCCCCCTTCACAACCCCCCAATAGTATACTCTGCCCTCCTCACACCAACCACACCCCCCACTTCACATCCCTACCCCACAGTACTGTCCTTTGCCCTTCACATCCAACCACCACAACACTGCCCTCCCTTTACATCTTCCCCTCCACAGCATTGCCCTCCGCATCAGAAATCCCCCCCAATAGTAGTGTTCTCTTCCCTCTTCACATCAACCCCCCCCCACAGCACTGCCCCCCCCTCGCCTTTACATCACCCCTTCTCACCACTGCCCCCTTTACATCGCCCCCCCACCACATGCACACAGCTCTGCCCCTCTTCACATTTTGCCCCCCCTCTTTACGTCACACACAAATCCAGAGCAGTGTCTCCAGTCCACCTTCACTCTCCTACTTTAGAACGGAGAGCAGGAGGCAGAGCATTTCTGGATCAGGTGTGGGAAGCACAGCACATTTGAACAGAACCGATTCTTTTCCCCCCATCCTCCTCCGCTGTTAAAACAGCAGGAGACAGGACATTTGTGGAGTGAATGTGGAATAACAGCTCAGTATTGAACAGAGTGCAGGAGCTGTCATAACATTCCTGGATCGGATGCGGGAAGCACAGTACACCATTGAATAGAGCGCGGGAGCTGCCTGGGTTAGCTCTTTGTATTAACCAGCAGGTGATTGGCTGTTAGGACTGCCCTACTTCCAATCAGTCGCTGGTTAACTTAAACAGGTAACCCTGGCAGCTCATGCACTCTATTCAATGCTGTGCTTCCTGCATCTGATCCAGAAATGTTATGACAGCTCCCGTGCTCTGTTCAATACTGTGCTGTCATGCCACACTCGCTCCAGAAATGTTCTGTCTCCTGCCGTCTGCTCTGCTGTTATAACAGTGGCAGAGGATTGGGGGAAAGAATCCACTCCTAAATGGCGTGACCGAATGAAACAGTGGCTAGGTCTGTATCCAGACCGTAGTGCGCCATTTGGTGATGTCTGCTCTAGAAGAATTTTCTAGAAATAGTGTTGAGGGTTAATCCCTGGATTATGAATATTTATATGACCTCTGGAATATTCAGTTCAGTTTTGGGCACTAATTCACAAAAAGAACATTGAGGAACTGGAGAAAGTACAGAGAAGGGCAACCAAACTGATACGAGGCATGGAGGAGATCAGCTATGATGAAAGATTAGAGGAACTGAATTTATTCTCTCTTGAGAAGAGGAGATTAAGGGGGGATATGATCAACATATATAAATACATCAGTGGTTCATATAGTGAACTCGGTGTAGAGCTATTCACCCTGAGGTCATCACAGAGGACAAGGGGGCACTCTTTACGTCTGGAGGAGAAGAAATTTAATCTCCAAACAGGGAAAGGTTTCTTCACAGTATGAGCTGTGAAAATGTGGAATAGACTCCCTCAAGAGTTGGTTCTGGCCAGCTCAGTGGATTGCTTCAAAAAAGGCCTGGATTCTTTCTTGGATACACAGAATATAACTGGATACTAACATTTATAGGTAAAGTTGATCCAGGGAATATCCGATTGCCTCTCGGGGGATCAGCAAGGATTTTTTTTCCCCTGCAGGAGCAAATTGGATCATGCTTTTGCTGTTTTTTTTGCTTCTTCTAGATCAACTGTGGGTATAGGATTATAATTGGATGAACTATTGTCTTTTTTCAGCCAGACTAACTATGTAACCTCAGCCAATCCTTGGAAGGGAGGCTCAGAATGTGTGGCTCAGGAGAAGATAAATGTTTAGGAGGGTCTGATCAGAGGTCTCTCTCTCTTGGGTTCTCCTCTCTGGAGGTAGCCTGTGTGCTGCAGAAAAGCTGCTGGTGTTAGGCCTCAGCATGTGCTAAGGCTGAGGGCCTGGAGGAAGCTGGACTTAAAGAAACTTGCTGGAAGACACCACCTGTGTAAGCTGGGCTAGAGAGGACATGCTTTCACTGGAAAGTATTGCAGGGAAGCTGGTTGGGAGCTGCTCTGGGTATTGTAGGTAGGACCTTGCTTAGAGCACCAGGTGTGCAAGTACACTGAGGGTTGGACACCATATTTTGCTGCAAGGTTTGTGACTGCTTGCATACAGTTGCAGACTAGCTGGCTTCCGGGGGCAGACTGACCATTTGGAAACTCAGCACTGCCCGAGGGCCCGGGGTCAGTAGGGGGCCCCATGAGATGCCCCTGGTACCTTTTTCATAGGCTTTTTTGAGTTTGGGCAAGGACACAGGGGCCCCATGAGTTGTCAGTCTGCTCCTGGCTGGCTGTCCCTTCTACTTCCTGTATTACAGGAAGCTGCTACTTAAGGACTAAATACTGCTGGAAAAGAACATTGCTTGAGAATTTGTCCTGTAATACCTGCACGCCTGATTAAGAGTAAGTATGAGTTCAAGAAGGGCCACGATTAGAACTCATGGAGCTCTATAGAGCCCACCTGACAGGGCCAGGATTTAAAGTGGTTGTAAACCTCAGACATGAGATATGAACAAAGCAGATTCCTCTATAGTGTGTGCTTGTGTCAATCCAAAGCACTAAGTGTCATTTCTATCTGCTGTTTTCTTTCCTGCTATGTGCATTAATCACTTCTGACAGGTTTTCCTGACATCAAAAGCACAGGGGATGGGGGGGGGGGGGCCTCCAGCAGATTGACAGCCTCAGCTCTGTTCCTGTGAGCTGTGTGGAGGGGTGTGTGTCCTTTCCCTCCAATCAGGTCTCAG